ATCTAGGTCATGACCGAGCTTCCCGAGCTCCGGATTCGGGCTTCAGGACCCGGCCACCTTCTCCGGAGCCCAGAGCTCCTCTGGAGCTCCCTGGAGCTCAGAAAAGGGAGAACTGATTCTTCCCTCCATTTCCCTCTTCTTTTATAACAATGGTTTCAGAGGTCAATGGGCCATTCAGGGCTTTGGGTTTTTTTACGTCGCTTTTTGGCGTAGAATTTTAATTCTTAAAGGTGGGGGGACATGAAAAAAATAATGTTTTCGAAATTCCGTTCAAAGATGCCCCTCGAGGAGTTGAACTTGTGAGGGCGATGATTGAGGGTGCGGCGCCGCTACCGACTGAACCACGCGGGCAAAGAGAAAGCGCACGCCCGATTGCATACATAAAGGCGAGGACGACAGCTGTACGCAGAGTGACATTAAGCATTGTACACCGTCACGGTAGAATGCATACTCTAGCTACAAGAAAACTACGAAAAATCTCCTGTCCCCCCACCTTTAATTCTTTAAAAATAATTCATCACGTTCTCTTTGACCCTAATTATCTCGTTTCATGTTACAGCTATCAAAAAGTGGTCACCTGATAAAATGTTGCTGATATTCTGATAAATGTTTTCTCAGTCGACCACTTTTTGATATCTTTCACAGAAACCGAGATAAACTGGCTTAAAGCTAGGAGGTCGGCAGCTGATCGTGTAGCTCAGCCGGCAAAGCACAGACGTGTTAACTTTGAGCTCCTATATTTCAGTTCTTGTAAGAGATATGAAAAGGTAGCCAACTGATAAAATGTTACTGACAACTTGATAAACATTTCATCAGTTGACAATTTTTTGATATCTTTCACAGAAACCGAGCTACATTGACTAAGAGTTGAAAGTTAAGGGTGCCATTCTATTAGAGTCTCTTTTCTCGGATTTTTCACAACTTTTTTGCAGTTTCGAGTGCAAAATCTGCTTCAACGAATATTCTGAAAATCGTCTTCCCCGTTTCCTAATCGGTTGTGATCATACAATTTGCCAGGAATGTGCTCAAAAATGCTTCGATTTAAAACACAAAAAGTACATAACTTGCCCGTTTTGTCAAATGCCTACTGTAATTAAAGGTAATTAACTTTTTTTTTTTAATTAGTTAAAATTTTATTTTTGAGTTTTTGGAGCCAAAAAATCAGCGGAAACCGTTGATTTTGAGCCAATGGCCTAGAAATCCAAAAAATTTTAAAAAGTCATTTTCTTATTTCAGGAAATGTTCTCATTTTGCCAACAAATCTGGCACTTATGGAAGTGATTGATGAGGTCAAGAAGAAGACTTAATTACCCACTAATTAACCCAATTTTCTTAATTAAAAAAAAAATTTTTGCATTTTTTTTTTCAAAATTTAAAAAAAGGAAACATTTTTTCAAGAAAAATATAAATACATGTAAAAAGGACAGGGGAATCAACGGATCAGGTTTTTGCAATTATTTGGAAAGTTCTAGGAAAAGGAAAAAAAGAGAATCGAACAGAAATAAACGAGAAAACAGGGGGAAAATCGAATTTCGGGGAACTTTTAGACTGGAAAATGAAAATTTTAGCCGAAAAATGCTTCAAAATGCGAATTTTTGGGGTCTAAATTTTACATTTTTAGTCTTAAAATGCAAATTTTCGAATTAGAACCTTAATTTTCAATTAAAAAATAAAAATCAAATTTTAAGGCCTAAAAAATTGAATTTCAACGTTTTGAGCCTGAAAAATGGCATTTTTTAAGCCCAAAATCGCCAAAAGTCTCCAAAAAAAAAGATGAAAAATGCGATTAAAGCTCAGCAGATAATAAAGATACAGTAGTAGAACGAGAGAGACAGTGAGAAAAGAGAGAGGGGGAAAAGAAAAAAAAGAAAAGAGTGAGAGATTAGTAGAGTAGAGGGAAGAGAGAGATTCATTTGACAACTTTTAAAAGTTTCTTTTCGGTGGGAATTTGAATTCAGGGGTTATTTTAAAGATGGGGTTGGGGGTGGTTAAGGGTACAAACTTCATGAAAAAAGTTGATTTTAAGAAGATTTTTCAGCTCAAAATCCTATAGTTGCAATTCAGATTTTTTTTGGTACAGAGAACAAACAAAGCGGTGGGGGAAAGAGAGAGAGAGAGAGAGAGAGAGAGAGAGAGAGAGAGAGAAGAGACGCAGAGCGATTCAATGAAAACGCGAAGACGTCGATGGTCCGGATGCCGGAGAGGCTAAGAAGTCCTGATTTTTAGAAGACGTTGAACGACGATGGTGGGATCTGAAATGTTCAATTTTGGAAAAAAAAATCCAGAATCTCAAAGTCCAAGAAATCTGTAAATCAGAATTTTCAGAATGCCAGGATTCCAATAATTCGGAATTCCAGAATTTTAGGATGTCAAAAACCTGAAATCCAGGAATTCAAAAGTTTCAGAAGTCGTGGAGTTACAACTATAGATTTCTTAAATTTCGGAAATCTAGAATTCAAAAATCCAGAATTCCTAGAATTCCAAAATTCCTGAATTCCAGGATTCCCAGGATTCAGATTTCCAGAATTCCAAAATCTGAAATTTTTAGAATGCGAGATTCTCACAATTCCATAATCCCTGAATTCCAGAACTTCCAGAACTTCCAGAATTCCAGAATTCTCAGAATTTCAGGATTCCAAAATTGTATAATTCCTGAAATTTAGAATTCCTCACCCTGAAGACGTCATCGATTTATTATTATTATTATGGTTCTGATCATAATTCCACGGTGTCGTGATTCGATTATGCTTGTGGCGTGTGTTGTGCGGATGGTCCGGTGAGGCAGCAATAGAAGACGTTCCAGAAGACGTTGGACGATTCTGAGCGTCTGACGCAGAAGACGTGGGGCGGAAGGGGGTACCAGACGTTCCTGGGCGAACTGCTTCAGAACTCCTTGGCTTTGACGGTGAGGAATTGTGATTTTGACGACGAAGTGGAGATTTTTCAGGAGACGTCTTCGGAAGCTGTTGCTTCTGAAACCCTCCTGACGTCTTCTGAGTGGCTTTTTGAGCATTTTGATGGTCTCCAGAGGTTCTGGGAGCCTTCTGAGGCCTCTGAACCCCTCCAATTCTCTCCAAAAACGCTTTGAACCTCTCTGGCTCTGCTGCCCGTTTCAATTGGTTCTTAGACATGCTCTCAAAGTCAAACGCCTTCTGAATCTCTTCCAACGATTCCTCCCCAGTCTCAAACATCATCTGAGCAATGCGAATCGTCTCCAACGACGCTTCAGCCAGCTTCACATTCAGCCCCTCTCGTCTCATCACCATCTTGCTCAGCATTATGTCACGTTTCATGGCATTAGCGGCCCTCTTTAGGTGGATGTGACGTAGTTCGTTGACCATTAGGACCGCCGGCCGAAAAAACGGATGATTCTCTTGGTGCTCAGCGCCACGTAATCCAGATCCTGAAATTTGAAATTTGAAGGATATTTTTTTCTGATTTAAAATATTGATTTTTAGTCAATTTCAGGTCGTCAGATCAATTTTTATCAGAATCTGATAATTTTCAAAATTTTCAAAAAAAATTTAAAAATCACATAAGGGTCCCCCTTTGGTTCTTTACGCAATTTTTTTTCAAAAATATCCTTACCACTTGTCTCAGGACCTGACGACGTCGTCGCTGTCGATGTGGATGGACCTGAAGGATCAGAAGACGTCGAGGGCTTCAGGGCCATTCCAACGGTTCCAATCGAGATGCTCGCTCGATTCTGTTGAGTCTCCATCGCCCGTCGTGCCACGTCTTCTATAGTTGTGGGTACCGGAATCAAGTCTGAGAGGTTTCTGATGAGCGGGCCACCGGCGTCCAGACGTTTCTGCTTCCAGTACTCGAAGGCGTCAGCAATCAGGAATTCAGGGAGGCTCGTGCTGCAAAAATATGGACTAAAATGGTTGAAAATAGCGTTTTCGAATTTTTAGGACATAAAAAATTCAAATTTTGGCTCCAGAAGGTCAAATTCAGGGTTCAGAATAGCTCAAACCCACCCTAAAATCACTGAAAATCGGCTCAAAAAACGTACCTGATGGAAACATCCACATAGTTAACGAATCCATAGAAGAAGCTCTCCAACTTGGCCAACCATGGATTACGGTACTCCAGCCACTCGTCCTCAATTGCCAATCGACGATTGTTCTCTGGTTCCGAGTGACGGTGACATTTATGGATATAATCCATTCCTGAGTGGTCGAGTTTCTGGAAAAAAAGAATTTTCATAGAAAATTCCCGAAAAAGGTGAAAATATGCGAAATTCTCTTCACAATTCACTTCAAACTGCTCGAAAACCCCAAAGAACCTCTTTTCCCTCCAAAATTCACCCATTTTAAGCCAGAAAACACTATTGTTACCAGTGGCCGAGTTTTCGAATTTTCTAGGCCACCACACCTCGGCCACTTGTTTTAGGGGGTTTTTTGAACCAAAAACTGTATTTTTAGCGTTTTAATATTTTAAAAAAAACCGATGTCTTTACAAAAATTGTTCAAACATAATACAGCGAAAAAAACTTGAAAATCAACCAATGACCTAGAAATTTCAAAAGTTCGGCCATCTCGAACTTTGCGCCTATTTTCAGCGATTCCAGGGGCTTCTTGAGGGTTTTTTTGAACAGTTTGAGCGATTTCAGACGCTTTTAAAATCAAATTTTCACTGAAAATTCAATTTTAAACCGCTTTTTCAAGACTCACCTCCTTAACGACAACCTGACATCCTGCTCTCAACGCACAACACACATGGAACGTCATTTCACACTCCTCATCACTACATTTGACACAGACGCCCTGTTTGGTGTCACACACACAGCACTTCTCCCTGTACTGATGCTCCTCGACCTTCTCCACAAATTTAATGGGTGCCCGGTCCTCTGCATCCTCGAATTCAATCTGTTTAACGAACAGAGCACACGAGTGATGTGCCCAGAGCTTTTTATCCGCCGAATGGGTCATTGAGCCCCCTAGAGCCGGGCAAAATATGCATTTTGGAGCCGGTCCTTGTCTCGAAAATCGACATTTCAAACATTTCCATCCTCCCGTTGGAACTGTCTTAACGCCCCCGCACGTCTCATGGACACAAATGTTACAACTATCACAATAGATCATTTCCTCTGATCCATCTGTGTCGACGTCTCGACAAACGTCACATTCGTCGTCGTCGCGTGGAGAGGAGACGCAGACATGCAGAGAGTTCAGAAGTTGCTTGTGGATTGCAGTGTACGTTTGGGTCTCCAGAATTTCCATGATTTTGGAGAACACTGTGGTGGGGAGGTAGGTCTTGCCATTTGATTGTTTTCGGGCCTGGAAAATATGAAAATTGTGAAAAATTGGCCTCAAATCAATCTTCCAATTTTTCGAGGTGATTTTCAGCCATTTTCCCCCTATTTTACCTTATTCAATCTCTCCAACCACTTCAAATCGTGCGCCGTCACTTCATAATGCACTTTTTCTTCTTCTTCTCCCTCCAAAAGCTCGAATCTCTCCTCATCAAAATACTCTGCTCGATCAGAACAAGCGATTCGTTTCACCGGATGTCGATAGTCGTCTTTTGGCTTCAAAACGAAGCCGTCATCCATAACAACCGCACGTGGCAGAGTAGTCTCGCATGGGATCGGCACTCCACGACTGTATTCTGTACGCCATCTGGAGGAAAATATCAAGTTTTCAGTGTTTTGATAGCTTTTCGTCGAAATTTTGAGCTCAAAAACCCCTCAAAGTCGCTGAAAACAACCAAAAATTCGAGGTCGCCGAGTTCTTTTTTTAATTTCTAGGTCACCGATAGTTTTTCCTCTTATTTCACCATTTTTTCGAAGATTTTTCAGAGATTTTCCAATATTTTCAGGCAAAATTCGTTTATTTTCAGTGTGTCACAGACAATTTTAGAAATTTAATGTTTTCGAAAAAAAATTTTTTTAGAAATTTCGAATTTCTAGATGATTTTTTTTTCAAAAAGAAAGATTCATGATCCATTAAAATCTTTTAAATCAATATTTTGATGTTAAAGTCCTCGAAAATGCCCAAAAAATGACAGTTTTTCCCAAAAAAAAACAGCTGGCCGAGGTGGGGTGGCCTAGAAATTTCTAAAACTCGGCCACCGGTAGCAATAGCGATTTTCAGCTCAAAATTTGTCATTTTCGGCTGAAAAAGAGGTTTTTAGGGGTTTTCAAGCATTTAGAACTAGAATTTGGCATTTTCCAAGCTTTTTATCACTTACTTATCACCGATATAAGCGAATGGAAGACAATCAGCCAGCTCTGTGTCACTATCAGCGTCCATATCATATCTGCTGGCCATCTGGGTGAATGGTATTGTGGAAGTAGACGTATCGTCTGAAATTTTCAGATTTTAGGTTTAATGAAAATTTTTGAGTTTTAAAAGGGAATTACATCTTGGCTCTTGCTTCTCTTTCTTCTTTTTAGGCTTGACCGGTGCGGATGATGTGGAAGGGCTGGAAATTCGAAAATTCTGGATTTTTAGAGGGTTTTTGACTTACACATCGTCGTTATCCGATTCAGGAGGTGGCGCTGGCCGTTTGGAAGTTTCTGGAATTTTTTTAAAACAAATAATTGCAAAAATTCAAAAAACTCACTGTGTTTTACATCGGATTTCCGCCGATCTATTGGTTTTTGAACTGTTGGGAAGGTTTCATAACCATCTGGAAATTTTGAATTTTCAAAATTTCTAAATATTTCAATGTATTTTTAAAAATTCCTCACTTCTTCTGGGTCTCTTCTCTGACGGAGGTCTCCGAATGATCCCTGGCGATCCTGAAAAAAAAGAAAATGATTTTTTTTGTCAAAACTTGAAATTTCACTTACCAAAACTCGGACCCTCCGATGAGCCGGGAGTCATTTCGGTGCCCTTCTGAAAGTGTTAAAAATTATTCAAAATCAATTTAAATTCAATATTGTTCAAGATTCAACACAAAAGTTTCGAAATCCCCGGCCATGTGACCATTTTTTCGCATTTTTGCACAAAAAAACAACAATTTTCGAGATGGAGGAGTTTTGGGGAATTTCTAGGCCAGCTGGACTTCGGCCATCGGAGGAAATTCAAATTTTGAAAATCAACATTACGGGAATCGAAGAGAATTCAACGAGCGATTTATAATGTTTCTAGGAGGAAATTTAGTATAAAATTCATTTATTCAGAGTAAACTTGTTGAAAATCGGTGTGAAATGCTAAAATTGGAGATTTTGGTAGAGGGTATCGTCTACAAAAGGGAAAAATCAACAGATTTATCAATTGAAACCTAATTAATGAATTATTTTTTGAAGGTTTCTGCAACTGTTTGGGTTTTAGACTATATAAAATCAATTTCTCTCAACTAGGTGCCAACAAAAACACCTCAAATGTCTGCCGTCTCTTCACCCAGTGCGACCGCGACGCAACCGCGCCGCTTTCGAAAGCACTCAAACGGCAGGCAATACGTGGGAGAGCCACGTTTCTATGGTGATTCTGCATGTTAATCTGTCGTCTTTCCACCCAAATTTTCGATAATTGTAGTTTTCTGACTCTCTTTTTTTGAATTTTCAGAGTTCTAAAGAGATTCTTGTGGGAAAATAGTGAAAATTTTGAAGGTTTTCGGGGAAAAATTGCTTCAGCAACTCTAACCATTTTCTTCTTTTCGAAAATTGTTCAAATTAATTCTAGAGATCATTCGAGCTCAAAAATCGAATTTTCAATGGCAAATTCTTTGTAAAATTGCATTGTTTGTCAAAATTTGTGTTTCTAAAATTTTTCAGCAAATTTTGAAGATTTTTTCCAGTTCATAGCTTTTCGCTGGCTGCTCGAATGCTTTCCAACACGAAAAATTCACTGAAAATCCAATTTTCCAGCGAAAAATTCCTCAAAAACCAATTTTATACTAAAACTCATTATTTCGTCATTTTCAGTTTTCTTTCAGGTTTAAAAGCCAGAAATTTCGCTTTTTAGGTTCGAAAGCCAGCAAAACCACCCTTTTCCTCTCAAAACTTGATTTTTCCGATTTTTCCCGAATTTTTTAAATTTTTGCTAATAAAAAATTCCAGTTAACAACCTATTTCTCCCTCAAATTTTGCATAAATAATTCAATTTTTCGCCTGATACTCAATTTTCCGTTTTTTCTCAATAAATCGTATTTTTCTCAAAATTCAAACCAATTTTTTCCAGATGGCCGATCACGAGAACGGCGAACAGAAGCCAGACGGAATTGGACCTCCATCACAACAGCAACATCCAGACAACAATAATATGTCATCCGCGCCACAGGCACACCAGCCACCACCACTAGTCCAACAGCAACAACCACCTCCACAACATCATCAGCAAGACCATCATCCTCAGGAGCATAAACAGCAGCAGCAACAGCGCGACGATGTTTGCCGAGATTTTCTCAAAAACATTTGCAATCGCGGCTCGCGCTGTAAATTTTATCATCCATCCGAGGCACCGCCAGCCAGCGATCACGATTACAATTTCTGCATAGACTATCAGGTGCGTAGCTTGGGATATGCTTAAAAAATGCTTTTTAATGTCTGAAGTCTAGGAGAACAGCTAAATTTTTAGGTTTCTAGGCGTTCCAAAACCCAAAATAGTTAACAACCTGGAAAAAACCGATTTCTGACATTTTCAACCCGAAAAATTGAATTCTGACCCTTAAAAATTGCTCAGAACCCCGTCTAACCCGCTTTTTTCTTTTAGAACCGAGGCTGCCAGCGCGACAATTGTCGATTCGTGCACGCGCCACGCGACGAGGTGGAGAGATACAAGAACACGCGCGAACTGACGCTTATCCTGGCGCGAGCCATCGCCGCCGTCGGCCACGGCGACACTATCGGCGGCATTCCGATTTGCAAAGAGTTCCAAACGGGCCGATGCGCTCGCGGCGTCAATCGCTGTCGTTATTGGCACGTGAATGTGGATTTGGAGAGGGATCGCCGTTCGCGAGGACTTCCACCGACCAACGAGTTCGGAGGACCTAGTGGAGGAGGTGGAGGTGGAAGTGGAGGATCTGGAGGACGATTCCCACCACCACCAATAATGGGAGGATTCGGAGGTGGTGGGGGTGGAGGTCGTCGTCGTCCCTACGATGACTACGATAACGATCAAGCCAAACGAGGAAGATATGCACCGGATGATCGTCTGATGGAGTTGGAAAAGAGGAATGCGGAGCTATCGAAAGAAGTGGATTCTCTCCGACGGGAACTTCAGAGGGAGCACGATAGATACGAGGATCTTTATGCCCTATTCCGTCAGCAAAGTGGTGGAGCACCGGCGCCACCCAAGGCTCCGCCAGTCGGCGATTACTATGGAACCCCATGGGGACAAAAGCCGGGATGGTGATCTGATTTCTGTTTGTGATAATAACATTTCCATTGATTTCCTTTTATCTGTCTTTTCTTCCAAAGATTCCATTCGTTTTTAATTCTGCTCTCTTGTAATTATTATTATTCTTCCATTTTTCTCGTAATGGAAATAATTCCTGTACCGCTTCTCCCCCGCTATTGTCTTTAAATTATCTTTAATTATTTCCCTGGTTTTAAACGGTCCTAAAATGAAAACACACAAATCTCGAAGAAATTAAAATTTATGTAGGAGGCGGCGACTTATTTAGTTTATTTGTTGGGAGAGTACCCGGCATGGCAGATAGATAGGGGTTAGAATATGTGAGAAAAATAGAGAAGCTAGATAGAGAAAAAAAAAGAAAATTGCACAGAAAGAAAAAAAATAGAAATTAGTGAGAAAAATAATTTTTGAAAAATCGCTTCAAAAAAGTCGAAAATAAGAGAAAAAGGGAAATTTCTAAAATTGGGAAATTTAAAGAATAGTACAATGTTTCTTGATTCCAGACCGCTTCTTTCGGCCAGAGCTCGCCGTCGCGTCCATTCCGATTTGGGTTTGAGCACCGCCCTTTCGGCGTTTCATCTCGCGCATCAAGTCGTAGAATACCTGGAAAATTTGATTTGCTAGAAGAAAAGGAAAAAAATTCTCAAAAACGAGCGAAAAATCAATATTCTAAGACGATTTTGAAGAGAGTTATGAGGGAAAGAGTGATTTTGTTCTGCTAATGTTGAAGTGAGACGCAGAGAAACGAGAGAAGTGGTCTGCTAATTGTTCCGAAGACCACCGAGAGACGCAGACGACGAGAGCGTGGGTCTGCTAGCTATTTAGCAGACCCAAATAATCTTTTTTTCCATCACAACTTTCTTCAAAATAGCGCTAGAAAATTGAAATTAGGCTTATTATGAAGGAAAAAAATGCTTATTCTTCTCAGTAGAGCGGACATTCACCTTATCAACATTCTCTCGTCGTTTCGCCGACGTCTCAACGTAGTGACAACCCCATTGCTCAGCGCGTTGTCGACACAGCTCGGCTGGAACGACGCGTTGATCGCGCATGTCTCCCTTGTTTCCGACCAGGACGATTGGCACCGAGTTGTCCGAATTTTTGACACGGAGGATTTGTTCGCTGCAAAATTTAAATTGGACGGGAATTCAAAATGTTTAAATCCAAAAAAAAATCCTTCAAAAAAATTGAAAATTCCGAGTTTCCGAGCTAGAATTTTATGAGGAAAAGGTCTGGAAAATCTTCAAAATCTCAGAATCAAACAAAAAAATTTCACTAGAGCGAATTTACAACACTTACCGGAACTCATTCGTCGCCTCAAACGACTCCATATCAAGAATCGAGAAGACGCAAATGAATCCTTCGCCGCTACGATAGTAGTTGTCGCTGAAATTTGAATTTTTGGAAAAAAAAACATTTTTTTCGAAAATTTTTTTGAAGAAAAATCTTTCGGAATTTCAATTTTTCAGGAATTTAAAGCTGTTTTTGGTCATTTTTAGCTTTTTTTTCATAAATTTAAATTACCCCTAAGCTTCCAAGGCTTACCGAATAGCCGAATAATCCTCCTGTCCAGCTGTATCCAGAATATCAATCGAGCACTCTTCGCCGTCCAAAACCACCTTTTTACGATAGGAATCCGCTTTCGTTGGCTCGTATTCCTCGACGAACTGCAATTTCAGGAAAAATCATAATTTGAAAAAAAATGTTGAAAAAATTTTTTTCTTGAAAATCTAAAAATTTCAGATTTTCAGATTTCTCACCTCATCATACATAAACTGCAAAGTGAGCGCCGACTTTCCGACACCTCCGGTTCCCACCATGATCACCTGAAATTAAAAAAAAATAAATTTTCAGCTCAAAAATCTCACCTTATGCACAATTTGTTGTTGTGGTGGTAGCGTTCCACTCGCTTTTTTCGATGCCATCGCTGCTGAAATTTTCAAAAATTCAAAAATTTTAGAAAAAAAGTGAAATTTGTAGGTTTTTAAAGGAAAAACATGTGTAAAAAACGAAGTTTATGTATGAAATTCAAGGAAAAATGCGATTTTTATTGAGAATTTATCGAAAATTTGGGTTATGAGTCATAAAAAAGGAATTTTGATAACAAATTTGGCGTTTTTAGCGCCGAAATTCAATAAAATTCCTACCTACAGTAACCCAGAAAGTTGTGCAGTGTGTATACACCAAACCTGACGCGCAATAGCTTAATTAATTTTTTGACTAAATTTAGAGCTATTTTTGCCTTAAAAATTACCTTCTGGATCATAAAAATTGTGTTCCCCACTCGATTTTCTTCCAGTAATAAAATACCAAAATGTTAGAAATTTTAATTTCACCCAATTCCAGGCACTTCGAATAACATGTAGTATTTTATCCATTTTTTAAGGGGATATTACGAAATAATTTACTGGAAGATCCAGAGGGTGTCCAATAGCAACTGGCGAGTATGCTGGAGGCCGAAACGGAGAGAAAAGTGTCTATTCACATGCGGAAATAGGGAGAAAGAGGGAGAGAGAGCTAGAGAGTGTGGGAAAATAAGAGAGCGCCAGACATTTTGACTGTTTTTGGAGCGCTGGAGACGACTCCTCCCTTTACCAATTATGCATAATAATACAAAAGGACGACCAGAGACTGAGAGAGGAGGTGGAATTATTATTATTTGTTTTTCTGTTTTATGACACTCTCTTTTCACATTGGAGCGCAATTTCAAACATTAGTCACTGAATAATAGTAATATATGGGTGTAATCGGGTTAAGTACTAGATTTCAAAGGTTTTTGGTGCTGAAAAATTTTTCTGAACAAAAAAGTGAATTTCAAGAAATTCAAATTTAGAGAAAACTTGCAAAACTTCCATATTTTTCCTGTATTCTAGACTGAATTTACTTTTTTTCAGATCATTTTAGTCTAAAAAATCTGAAATCTTCAAAAAAAAAATCAATTTCTAAACTTTCTTGGAAAATAGTATTTTTTCGAATTTTTCAAAATTTTGAAAAACTCGAAAATCTCATATTTCATAACTTTTTAGGCTGGAATTTACTGGAATTCGCAGTTTTCAGATTTTTGGTCTAGAAAACATGAAAAATTTGAAAAATTACAAATTTTGGAAGTTATAATAGAAAAACGATTCGGGTCTGCTAATTTATTAGTATGCCAAAATTCTCATTTTTTTGACATTTTTTTGTAGGGAAATTTGAAATTGATAGCATTCTTATAAATGTCAAATTGAGCTTTAAAAATCCTATGAAATGAGCCAAATTTCAATCTTCTGGCGCTATTTTGAAGAAAGTTATGAGTGAAAAACAATTTGGGTCTGATAAATATTTAGCAGGCCAACGAGAGATGCAGAGAGGCGATAGCGTTGGTATGCTAGCTATTTAGCAGGCCAACTCTCTCGTCATCTGCGTCTTTCATTGGTCTGCTAGCTATTTAACAGACCCAAATTGTTTTTCACTTGTAACTTCCTTTAAAATAGTGCTGGAAAATCGAAATTTCGCTTGATTTGTATGGAATTTTTCGCTATTTTCAATGATCCAGGTCCTAAGAAATGCGGGTTTTCAGAAAATTGTTTCCAGAAAAGTCTGAAAACTCTCAAAGCATCTTCCAGAAAGATTCCTTCTATACAAAAACTATGTGAATGGAAAAAATAGAAAAAACGGTGACGCGTCATTTCTCGTCATTGAACACAACGAATAGAGGTGGGGAGGAGGCGAGAGAGTACATACCTGGAGAGACGCAGAGTAAAAAAAAATATAGTATAGAATTGGGGATGAGAGACAGAGATAGATAACAAATAGATCGAAAAAAAACGAGAATTTCTTGTTTTTTTTTCCTTTTTTAAGGAGAGAAAAATTATATTAAATTATAGGGAAGGAAGAGGAAAAACTAGAAATCAAATCTAATTAGATTTTTTTTCGAAATTTCTAGCAATGCATTTGCGCTCTGTTGGAATGTCAAAATGGCTCAAAAGTCTACAAAATACTATAAAAATTTGTCTCTTTGAGCGATTTTCGCGAAACGAGAAAGCGAGAGAAATGTATACAGAAGAAGAGCGTAATCCGAAATGTTTGTTTATTTTTGCTCTGTTCACTGCTGCCCGCTAGCCACCATTTCTTCTTTTTTCTCGAAAACCATCAAATTAAAAAAATAGTATGACGAAATTCGGAGACGCAGAGAAAAAAATTGTTGAGGGTGAATCGATGGCAATTTATAAACAAAAACGTGTCATGATGGTAACTAGAAAAGAATACTAAGACTGGAAAACTGAAAAGGGGTTATATACATCAAAATTCAGTGAAAAAATCGTTTATATATATCTCGAAAAAACGCCGAAAAATTTTTCAGATAGCAGCTCTTTTTTAGAAATTCAAATTTAGCTTCAAAAATCCTTCAAAATGAGCCAAATTTCAATTCTCTAGCTATATTTTAAAGAAAGTTATAACAGAAAAACGAAAATAGCTAGCAGACCCATGCTCTCGTTGTCTGCGTCTCACGTAGGCCTGCTACATATTTAGCCGACC